AAATAATGACATATTCTTAAATTATATTCTTCTGAAGCCTACAAGCCTTTTCTTCTTCATATTTCTCCATCTATACTCTTGTTGCTAACGTATCCATGGTCTCACGCTATGGACCTACTTTAAGTCACATTAACCCACGAAGAAGAAAAGTCTCTTCAGGAGAGAGATCAATTGGAACTAAATACAAAGAAGGAAGTATGGAATGAAAGAAACTTGTAGGCAGCCTGGATGATGGAAAAAGTATATGTAGATCCTCTGTGATTTACCGCACCATTTCGCCCGACCACCCGCCTACTATTATTACGACCTAGAGTGTTGTGCGACTTAAATTACCATTGCACATGCAGAAGTATGCGGCCGTATGCGTCGTAGTGACGTTGATTCGAGACGCCTAATCGAGAAATTCTGGTCAACTGTGAGATTCCTCGATGATCGTCTGCCAGTGTGCAAATCATGGAACGAAATTCTTGGGCTCTTAAAATGAGTTACTCAATATTTCTCCTCGTTTATTCAAATAACCAGAAGTGCTTCGGCCGCTCCAGATACTTCAACTCAACGAGGCCATATAGGCAGTAGTTTCGATAGGTATACGATGCGTCGCATGTACCTCTCAAGGATGAAGATTCAGTGTCGGCGGATGCGATTACAAGGTCCATTAGCGACAACTGATGACTCATGTCGTACAACTTTGGCTTGATTAATTCATTGTACTAAGTAGCACAATGTAGAACGCAAAGAATCTAGATACTAAGTCGCTTACGGTAAATTGTAATTATTTTCGTTCCTTTACGCAGCTTTCCTAAATACAATGGTGAATATAAGGAATTATCTTGTCATCTGATCGCTTAATTTTAGTCGGAAGTTGTGATTTATAGCGATCGCTCTGAACCTATAGATAGAGACAAAACTATACGAAGAACATCTCGTATACGAGCGTTCTTAACGTACAGAAAGCATTTAATTGTGCTGAGATGATATTGCTCTACCTCCGAAAATTCATTGGCAGATGATAAACATGAGATATCATTCCTGGAACGAGGTCGCTCACCTATTTATAACTGGGTCGAGAGTTGGGCAATCATTTTGGTATCTTTCTCTCTCTTTCTCTCTCTCTCTCTCTCTCTCTCTCTCCCTCCCCCTCCTCTATCTCTGTCTTTCTTTCTCTTTTTCTTATTCTTTCTCACAGTAACCATGTTCTCGATCCCGACTTCTCTCGGGGATCAAGATCCCCTCTGTACCCAAGAACGAATGTCGCCTTGAGCGAAATCACACACCTGACGCGGCCTGTAACCTGGCGGGTTCTTTAAAACAAGCTTCAAGTAAAACGAACAAAATATTGAACAGAAAATTACGCCTATATCTTTTAAATAAAAGCAAATGTTTCGTATATCCTCGATACTTAACTGGATCGAAAAATAACCGATGTCCTCATTAACAATTCGTTTATCTGGTAATATATGAATAAATGAATAAATGAATTGATGTTCATACTCTTGTTACATCAATATTATACTGGTATTATACTTATAATGGAATTATTTTAACACATTTTTATCAGCACGCTGTTTTTTCATCTTTAGATCGTATTAATACAAGGAAATTGACTGAAGGTAGAGAAGTCTTTATTAAAGGTTCCTCAGAACGTGTTACAGGGGAGACAGAGAGATCAATGCTGGGTAAGCACGAAGAGAATGTCAAGAATAAGTGAATGAGAGAAACCGAGCTCGAATATCGCAACGTTTCTGCGATACTAATTAGTTAGCCGCCGAAAGCAATTAAGCACAAGAACAGCAATCAGATTATAGCAGATATATCCATTTTATACGACTACGTGACCCTGGCCGTAAGTCGTTGAAAGTCACGGGAAAGGTAACGGTCGTCTAGCAATTGTTTCGAAATCGTGGCGCTCGGTTAAGTTCAAGTTGTATGTGTAGCCAGCATCTTAGCCAATGCATAATGTCTATACATGAGCCATTGAATTCAGACACCAATATCTTATGCATGTACTATGTATCAAGATTTCAGACTGATTTCAGTCTGATCTGCAAAGTAAGAGTGCTTTTCACGGGTATCTTACGTGAGAATCTGTCAAATTAAATACATAATAATAAAAGATCGAAAAGTAGATAAAGCGTGTGATGAATTTTGACTCGCAAATGGAAGATTGAATGAACTTTACTTATAAATAAGTAGAATATATATGAATAATATATGAATAAAATATAGACTTTATTATTTATATTTCTGACATTATAAATAAATAGAATATATCTAGGAATGTAAATGATTCAAATTTTTAAATTGCTAAATATCTCGCCACCGTTAATGAAGAGAAATGTTTGAATTGCAAATAATAATACGCAAAATGATAAAGAGATCATTCTATGCCAATTGACGATATGCACACCTAATAATGACCTAGCAAATCGACCTATCATCTAGTAACCCAGTGACGCATGAGAAACTCTCGAAACTAATCGTGACGTGAGAATCATACTTGGATTTAGATGCGAGTAAAGACGCGATCGACACGGAACTTTACGACTCTCTAATAATAAGACGATGAACATTTGGCGCTATCAACACGGAGAAATTACGCTTTTCTGAGCTCAAAGAACGATTTTATTCATCCGCTTGTTCAACGCGGGCCACAATGATAAGTTTCATAAAATTTGTTTATTCACTCCACGCACATCGCTTCGCATTACATGATACAGAAGAAATATTATAACATTTTCTATTTTCAAAATATTATTATTAGGTGTACAAATAAGTTTCCGCCGTTTTTTATCAAAAATTAAGTATTTATTGTGAAAGAATGATACATAATGTTTTATTGATGTAAGCCAAAATGTAAGTGCAAGTTCTTTTTGCGTTTGGCACGAATCTTCATTCAATAATGCTTCCAATTCCGCATCTTCGTACACTTTCGGCCTTCCGCTACATTCTTTGTCTTCGACGTCAAATTCACCGTTCTTAAATTTTCGAAACCATTCACAACAACTTCTCTCACTTAAGGCAGCCTTACCATATGCTTCTACAAGTAATCGATGAGCCTCAGCTGCAGATTTCTTCAAATTAAAGAAGTAAATCAAAAGTTCCCGCAAATGACGCTTATTCGGCTCAAAACTCGGCATTTTCGCACAAAAAAAAATATATGATGCTGATACAAAATCGCTAGTATTTCAAGGTTATGTTGTTGACAGATGTCCAACCTTACGATTAATGTTTTACATTAGACAATTTTAACCATAGCTTGCTAGTGGCGCCGTCTTTTGTCAAACGGCGGAAACTTATTTGTATATCTAATATATATTTGCGATGTATGATACTTTATGAAACTTTAAACAAAAACTGAGTAAAATTCTAAGTGATTATCTGAAACAAATAAATTACTAATTATATAAAAATGTAAGTATGAATATACAGTAAATAAGTTATATTACTACACAAACAAGAATTCTATGAATTAAGTAATTGAAATTTAAAAAGAAAATTTTAAAAGAATATCTTTTATTGCAACGTATAAATAATATAGAGGCTTAAATACATAATATACATACTTTGAATATAAAATACAAAAAATATAAAGCAATAAATAGCTTGAAATTGTTAGAAAAAAGATACTTGCTCCAATCTCACTTGTCAGTGGTATTAATATAACGTTGCACTCGGTTATATTACGAACGAAAGTAACTCCTCTTCCTCTCGAAGCAATTCCGCGTCTTTTTCCCCGTTGTTCTTCCAGCAGTCACGTCGTTGTAGTCGTTGTGTTACAGAGGAGTGTAATGATGCATGACAATCGCTTTTTTTACACTGACGCATTGCCTCCTCTTCGCGCCATCCTTATATCTCATGCTATGTTTCGTACAAATAATATATTTTTTGCCATATTTTATTCACTTGTAAATCTAATATATTTTCTATTTAGCTATATGCTTTTTGCTTAAAGCAAATTATTTACGGGCTATTATCGCGATATTCATTACATGGAGTCGTCTATACGCTGGTTAAAAAAAATCACAAGTTTTACTTTACTCCCAAAACTTACTATTAATTGCTTTCTTTTCTTTTTCGATGACAATCATATTTTTTCAGTATATGTAAGTACTAATTATCAGTGTCCACATCGTCGTAATCCAACGTATCGTTCTAAAAAAATACGACGTTATATGTATCTGGATATATCTATAATGTATTGTCGAAGTAAAATTCTTTTTATTACATCAAGTGAGGTTCTAACGTAGTGCGAGAAAGAAACGCGTTATTTTGCCTCAACCTCCTTTCCAGCTAGTTATTTTTCTTCTATGTGGGACTTAAGGACATCCGTTTCGAGAGATTTAGTTGTATGCCTATCCTCTCGACCCGATTAGAAATGACGTACGTGTGCCGCGACCTCTTCTCGACCTCTGGCCATCACGGACCGAGAAAACAATCGACTTTGCCCGGATGCACCTGAGACATGCACTTTCCCCTACAACCGGCATTTCCATCTCATCGGCTCAGTTTCGAGCCGCCGCTGGCCGGATGACTCGTCAAGGAAGCAGAACACTCGCGATGTATTAACGATTTCGAATGTGCTCTTTATGCAACGCGGCCGCGGCGCAGTTTCGTTCGTGAGAAAAAAAAAGAATGTTTCGGACCTTCCTGGAAGACTGGAAAGTTGCCGCTGCTGTCGCGATGATTTCTCTTTTTTGAAGCTTCTCTCTACCGGCCTTATGAACGATTTTCGTATTCAGGATTAAAAATAAAAATACAAAAAGGGCTTCTTAAAATTAGTGGAGTTAACGAATAAAAATTGATTATTATTTTAAGTTTGTACTTATAAAGTACTTTCACTATTATGTTACAGAAGTCTCACAGAAATCTCACAGAAAAGAAAAATAAAATATTTATTTTGAAATATGAAAACGCGCATAAATGGAAAAAAATCAATAAATACACATTCGAATTTTTTAAATACATATTAATGAATTACATATTACAAATTCGTAGCGTATAGTTTAATACGTTGCATGTACATTGTATTGGACTAGATTTAACTATTGAATTACGAATTATTACAGAAACATTTATGATCACGCTAAAACTTATGCAAAAATCGCCAAGTCGTAATACATACATAATATCGTATTTCATAATTAGCAAGTTACATCTTCACCAATCATACATATTATGACTAGCTTTTCAGTTTGATTATTTATTGATCTATTTTGCACATGTTTATGCGGATGAAGTATTGTTATATATTTAATGTACATCACGGAAGGGCCAGAGATGCCCTATTTACTATTTAATGATAATTAATAAAATAAATAAAAATAAATATCTCCATGATTATATGAATAAAAATCAACGTGAGGCTTAAAAGTCATCTTCCATCGACAGACTTCCATCGACATCCCGTTCTTCTCGTTGATTATAATAAAAAGAAGAAACAGAAGAAGAAAATATCAACGATCACTAGTGATGATATCCATATGCTTGGCTGTGCGCGTAATTAGAATCTTCCCAACCGGAAGAACCACCATTGCTCCATCCACCGGATACGGAATTGGACCATCCACTGTTAACGGGACTTGACCATCCACCGCTAACAGGACTTAAAAATCCACTACTCCAGCCACCATTGTAAGAAGTGACGTCGTGGTGCTTTTTGCCTGACCAGAATGTTTTTAAACCGATGAAGGCAGAGATGAGGAGAGAAATGATGGACGCTTGGATCGCCTTTTTCGCTAAGAATCCGGTGACAAAGTATAAGAGAACTCCCAAAATACCAAACTTTATTTTTGCGGCAATCAGGAGGGGTAAGAGTCCTTTTAAAAATCCTTTTTTCTTGCCTCGCGCTAGAATGTTAGAAAAGATTTATTAATTTAAGATCAATCAAATTAAATTATTCTTTTAAATAATTGTAAGACACGTAATTTCAATTTAATTTTATCGTAATACAAATAGAGATAAAATTAGTGTGAAAATTATTAGAAATAATTTATTAATTCTAATGCTACCTTCAACAATCTCATTGACAGCTTGACGAATTTCTGGTGGAGCAGATTCACTGAAGGCACGACCCGATTCTTGGATTTTCTCAAAAACCGATGCAAGATTGATCTGAAAAAAATTGGTGGTTTGCATTCAACCACATTGTATTTCTGAATATAAGATGCTAAGAGAGATAAAAAAATTTACATTAATATGATTTATGAATCATTAAAGTGACATTAAAACATTAAACCATTACTAAGATGCATTTCGTATTTCCCAAAATTTTGACCCCTATGTATCATTTTATCCTTGTTTAATATTCGATAAACAACAATTATGTAATAGCTTTAGTAATTGTTTAAGTACCCTAAGATTGCGACCGGTCAAAAATTGCCCAGCTTCATCGCTAATGAAGTTTTCAAGAGAATTTTGTCTTTCCACGATATTATTAGCGGCCTCCATCTCTTGGTCATAAGAAAGTTCCTTGATAGATCTGGCATTAACATTACTCTTCACGAGACTGACTCCGTTTATAAGCTCTAATTTATCCTTAGCAAAGAATTCTTTGGCGGTCCTATATAGAGTCTTCTGCACGCAGGATATGCTGTCTTGCTTCAGGCACTCGTCAATACTCTGACCGGTGATAAAAACGACCGCAGTTATCAAAATTATGAATTGCTTCAGTAGTTTCATGACTTGTTGCGAATTCCACGAGGCGTGTGATAAAAGCACCCGATTGCAGCGCGCGTTTATAGGAGATATAAAAAATTCGTAGATACCGATGGATCTACGAAATTAAAATTCACCGAATAAACTTCGTTGTGTAGAGTTAAATTTCGTGTGGTCCAGAGACAATCCGTTAGCTTATATTTGGTGGACCCCTCCTTTAGGTATGGGTCTCCATCATTGCCCCACCGACTTCTTTTTTTTCCTATTTGGCATGCATGAATACATATTCATCCAATAGACGAAGTGTACTTATGACAGAGGTTTGGCTAAGCCTATTACGACCTACCTACGACAAAACAAATAGAGGTCGGGCGTATAGATGCTATAAGGGGCTACACCTTGAGTGTTAAAATCGCTTTCTTTCAACAACGATTTTCTTAAGTATACCGGACTAACTTTACATTGCATTACAGGATATGCAATTTTTAGTTGAATGTATTGGATGTAGAGTATTAAGAACTCCGACCAAATGCGAATATAATATATAATAGAATGTAAAAACACAATTATGTAATATCGCATTACTAAAAAATTATTTCAATTATGATTATATAAAAAATTATATACATGGAATATAAAATATTTCTATTTTTATACATAGGCATGTATATAGTATTATTACTTATTTTTTTAACTTTATTTGTTACATAATCTTTAATTCCATTGAATTGAATTTTGTAAATAATATGAGTAACATTATTCGCATTTCATATAAGAAATATTTTAATATATATATATAATAATATAAAATCACAAATAATTTAGTATTTTCTCTCTCAATAATATTTGTTTTTGTCATTTTAATAAGTTTTTAATTTTATGAAACATATATATGATAATTATTTGAATAATGTTATATGTATGATAATTATTTGAATAATGTTAATATTTAATTCATACGCACATATTGTGTAAATTATTCATTTTCAAAGGTAGACTTATGTTCGCTCGAATTTAACGAATTTAAAAAATTTCTAGTTTGTTCTTATTATTTTACACATTTACATACTTAAATTGGAGAAACCTGATGATAAATTGGATGAGACCTGAATTTCAAGAATGTGTTAAATTTTATGTAAATAAACTCTAGAGAAAGCTCTTTCAACAATTTCTTAAACTCCAGCTTTAACTCTCATTCGCTTTGGTAAATGTCTGATCTATCCTAATTTATATTAACATTGCTTCGGTTCATTATCATCTTTAATACAAAAACGATGAAAAATTTAATAAGAAACGATAGCTACCTATTTTTTTAAATTACGAATATTATTTCAATTGAGCATAATGTGTAGTATATGAATTACGAAGATATTGAAAAATTTAATTGCCAAGTTCATCTAGTCATAATGCATTTATTATAATTTCTGCAAACAACAATAAGTAATGTTAAATAAGCTTATATAACAGTCTATTGCATTGTACTTTCCAATAAGGAAAAAAGAAAAATGATAGTAAATAACAGTAACGAATAACGTAATCTTTACGTCTGATTGAATCCTATACTCTTACTACTGAAAACTTCATTTGTAAAATTAGTACATACCGCTATACGAGACTCGAATAAACTCGTGTAAGCAAATAATAATATAACTAGCGATCCTTAAGTAGCTCAATTAGCTTTTTAGCGATGAACTATCATTGCAATTCCGTTCGGCGTTTAAGGAGCAGATACGGATGATCGATATGAATGAAAGAAAACTGGTATAGATCAGGTTCAAACATCCCGGATCCGACCTTCATCGCGGCACATGCGGACACCACTTTCTAGTGTGACCCTGCAACTCTCACGGGCCAATGGATAACGCTTCTTGTCATTTTCATTTCGTTTCTTCTTACCGGAAGTATAAAGCAGTACAATGCGACTATCAAGAAAATCTTCACATTCAGTAAGCGTATATGTGCGGCGTAGGTTTAAATTCCGAGAAAGTAAAACCAATGGTCTATATAGGACTAGATTTGTAAGACTGCAAGGCTATTAATGCGAGGGCGCATACTTCCATACTAATCAAAATTTCCAATTTGCGGAAATATAATTAAAAATATATGTAAGATATAAAATGTTTATTTATACCTTGGAAAGACAGCAACATTAAATTTGAAACAGGAATTAGACTTTTTTACTTAGAAAGTATTATATTAGACGTTTTCTATAGAAAGTGCGTTCTCTCTCTCTCTCTCTCTCTCTCTCTCTTTCTACTTTTTTATCTTTAAATCAGTTAAAGACATGTGACTTAGAACTGAGATGAGAAACGCGTTCCACATATTTTTATAGTAAACGACCTAATATTATGGAAAAGATAAGCATCATCCGATTATAAATTTGCAAGACTTTCTAACATTGATATTATTATCTTTTAACATTACACATTACAATCATTACTTTCCTTTATCATTTACATGTTCAATAAAATGAGATTATAAAGTGGAAGAGAGGAAGTGAAAAAATTGCATTCATTATACATTGTACATTTTACGTCCATTCTCTACTAAAAACCGCACGAGTCTCTTTGTTAATTTATGTACATAATCACTACGGAATAAAGAAGGAGCACTCTCGTCTTAAATTCGGTCAACAAATTCTCTCGTCATAAGAAGGGATTCATTGAAAAGCAAATACAACAACAACACAGTTCCCATTCCCGATCTTACGTCAATGCTCATTCATCCTTTCTCGGTCATTGGGTAGCACTCAGAATCCTTTCGTCAATCCTTCACTCCCAACAGAAGAGCAGCCTTAAAAAGTAAAACCAAAGTTTCTCCTGTATATACAACGACAGCAATGATCGTTAAACCACAGGCACGCCCATCGTGGTAAAATCACTATCCTTTACGCGGGAATACAACGTTGTAGATGAGACGTGTGATTTCGTTCAATGAAATGCAGATTGAAAACAGATATTTCAATTAAACAGATTACAATGACTCTCGCTCTTATCACACAAATTTATTAAAGTGATTATTATTGAAAAAATTTACTTGATTAACTTCTTTTTAAAATATTAAAGTATCAAAAAAATATATTAAAGGCATATTGCATAATATAAGAGATAGAATTGATATAATTTCTTCTATTAAAATCAATAATTGCATATTATTTTATGAAAAAGATGATCGGGAAAATTTATATTCAAATTTATCTTTATTATCAAATTTATTGAATATAACTTATATTCAAATTTATTCTCCTAATTTTCTCTCAATTTCATTTTCACAACAATAAATAATATTTGTTTTATATTAGAACAATTGTTAATTATAATTTTATAATGATAAAGAATATTAGAGAATAGTTAGAATATTATTAATTTCTTAATTTTCATAGCTTTTCTTGATAAAGTCTTATGTGAGGAAAAGTTTAACTCTACATTTTTTAATTACTTTTTTATAAAGAATTACCCTCTTTTCAAGTGCATTACCAGTTTATGTGTAAATATCTACATATTAAGGTCACCGACTTTTAGAGGTCATAGTATTTTTCCACACCAATATGTGAATGAAACAAAATGTTCCCACTGGTATCTAGAGAATCACTCAAAAAGTGTATCGATTTAGGACAGCAACGTCCATAAAAGCGTATCTAGCAATCGTGTTGCGTTTCCTGTCCTAAATCGGAAAGAACCGGTGGTCTTCGATATTCTAGCCTTCGAACTTGTCAGTAACTGGTTTAATGTCTGTCAATCGATTGTGCTAGGAATTTCTGATGCAATGTTCAATCAATTGGCCATCGACATGCGTACGACCTGAAAAATCAACCGGTAGCCAACCAGATCAAATTTGAATTTTAAATTTCTTTACGAAGTTTGTAATGAATGTGGAATGTAACGGGGCACTCTTCTGCGCCCAACTGGTTCTTCTCGTCTATGGACCATAACGCGATTGCTGTGCCAGAAACTTTGCCGGTAATTCTTTCCATATTGAGCATCATAAGCAATAGATCACAAATCAGCTCTATATATATATATAATATTATTAGACTATTAATTAATAATGAACATTAAAAACCATCTAAGTCATATATTTCTATTATAGTTCAGAATAATTAATAAAGATACAACAGAAGAGTTGAACAAAATAAACGATAATCCGAAACATGACAATAGATATATTGCCCATTCATTCCTTTGTACAGAGTTGTAAAAGTTATCTAGAAAGACCAAAGAAAAGAAAATAAATCGTTCATTTCTATTAATCACCGCGTTGGCAGTAATTGCAATTGATTACTGCTTTCAATCTTATTAAATATAATGAATCCGGTTTGATCGTAATTAGTGAGTATAACGCGCCATCTTTATTCTTTCTAGTCATTAGAAAAGTAGTGCAATGGATATAGGTAGAAAATTAAGCGAGAAGATGTACAATTAAATGGTGAATTTCGTAAAAAATTTGATTTGAATAATCAAATAATAACGAATTATGAATTAATTGATCCGACATTCCACGTAGGAATGGATATAGCGATCACAGACTGTAGACGCCGAGAAGCGATCGGTTCTGTTCGAGACTGCATCGCCGTCTGAGCTGCTTTCGGTGCGAATCTCCACGTTTTATGATATTCGAAACGTAAAAAAGGAAACGATTGGTATGTATGCCAGTGGGTCTTAGCCTCTTCCTTCCCCTACCACGCCACGTGGAGAAAGAAGGAGCCGAGGACTGTAGTGGGAGGAATCCAATACAGACAGAGAGAAGACGCGGCATAGAGAGATGCGTAAAGAGAAAGAGGATTCGTTCCTCTTACACCACTCGATCGAGCCTTTCTTCCATCATGCCTCCTCTCCTCTCCTCTATCTCTTTCTCCTTCGCTTTTTTTTCCTTCCACCGAGCTCTCCAATCCGCTCTGGGCATGAGATCCACGTGCACGCGCGGGAACATCGTGAATAAAAACAAGCACCGGCATTTGCGTCCACAGACGTGTTCTCGTAATTTATCTTTGAGTCTGAAAGACTCAAATTGGACTCTCTCAAGATTCACATCAAATTCCTCGTACAAATTGCTGCAGAATCCCGCTACATTCCAAGCTCAAGCGACTCTAAATTTTTATGAATTCGCGATCTTGAATAAGCAAATGTATGAAGTACATAATGAAACGCCGCGTTATTAATCAGATTCATATATCGTCGTTCAGCCATGTTTAACTTTCGATGCGCTATCGCTATTAGTCTATTTAGGCTTGACATTCGCGCACGGGTTATTATTAGCTTTGCATCGTCGCGACGTTAGCTAAATAAACGCTCATCGAGTAAACGCAGGTGAATATGCGACACGGTAGGTCGCTGGCACACTTTCCTCATTGGCTCGATTTGTTACCTCGTTCCTGCGATTTTCCAATGTTCCGTGTGCAAGTAAATGGGAAATATCGGCGGACTCGACTCAGCGAACCGTGTCGCTTCGTTTCCAAGCCTGTTATACGAAATATCTTATTAATTTCTAGTAATAAGCGACGTTACGCTGGCTCGTCCGAAAATTGCCTACTAAACGTTGCTTCCGTTTAAATTAATTTTGTGATTTATACACGTCTTGTTTAACGTTCAATTAAAATAAATGAGATTTCATTATTAATGTCATTAATAAATGTAAGTTAAACAATTTCGCGTTTCAATCGAGATGGTAATAAATGTAAAACACGTATATATTTCGTATCTTCCAAACACGTATGCTTTATTAACATGTGTTGCACAACAATAAATACGTGGGTAAAAAAAAAAATAAATAAATAAATAAAAAAATCGAACAACATACTTTGGTTTCTTCGGTGCGTGTCTGTAATTTTTCACTGAGAGTCCTGTCGAAGTGGCAGATCAATGGAGATCAGTTACCACGTTTCTCGCGAGCAAGCATTTGTTAAATATCACTTTCTACCGTAGCTGTCAATCAGTCATTGTCGTTTCGTCAATGTCACTGTCACTGATCTTGCGTCGCGTCACGTCTTCAGTTATTTCCCAGCGCCTATTAACCCTCCTACCGCAACTGACGTTTGCAGTTTTATAAACTATAAAGAAACGAAAGCCACGTTGTGAAAAGGATGGACGTTGCGTTAAATGAATGTGATGATGAATAAGAGAATAATGATGATGTGACTGAAATGTAAATTACGTGAGCGTAATGTCAATGTGCTGTTGTCAACGTAGTCGTATCTAGTCGTATCTATCTGAGAAGTTCGCTTTAGTAGCGATAAGAGAGTTGAGAAGCTGGAGAACCAATTCAATCTCGAGGTTGGTGCAATTAACGATTAAAAGCATCAAGACGGTCCCAAGTTAGCGTAAAGATGAGTATATCCTCTATAAGGCAACTGTGTGAAGTCAATGTCTTCGACTGATCTCTTCTTGCGATGGTGATGACCAACTTCCTGCGCGTAAACGACATGGTGACCGCCGCCGTGATCATCGCCACCACTCGCTAGTTTCTTCACGGCTACAATCAGTGACAGCATCAAAGCCATTGCCGAAACCATCAACGCCTTCATGGCTAGGAGACCCAATGCGCCGAAACCCATAGCAGCCATCATCTTACCTAGATTGTTTCAGAAGAAAAGTAAATTTTAAATTACAGTGAAATTTACATTATAAGATAGAATCGAACGTGAGACATGAAATTATGTTAAAAACATACTGTATGATTATGTAACAATATACATGTAATGATAATTGAATGTAAATATATACTTATTTCTTCTGTTAGATATAACTGAATAAAAATACAGTTTGAAAAGTATAATATAAAGTCCTAAATATCATATATTTATCACAAATATAATACATAAACTCGAAATCAATAAATGTTATATATAAAATAAAAAATAATTATTATTTACCGTCTTAATATTTTAACAAAATTGACGAAATATTTGCGCGAAGATGTATTACTTAATGTATATATGCGTTAGACAGAATGTAATAATTATTTAATATTTATAATTATCTTTTTCAATTATAATCACCTCTTCAATAATTATTCACGGAAACTTACCCATCATAAGCATCATTAAAAGGAGTCCACCGCCACCGCCCTTCTTGCCACCTTTGCCGCCGCCAAAACCGCCACCGCCGCCGCCGCCGCCGCCAAAACCGCCATCGCCACTCTTTCTCGCTAAAAAATGTAAGATTTTCAGAAAATTTCATAAATTTTCTTCGACATCTCAGTCGTGTCGCTCATAAATTACAAACCTTCTGCTTCGGAAGGCAAACTCTCCTTCAAAGCGGTTTCAATATTCGGTGGGAGTAAAGACGGCAGCTTGACTCTCAGTTCTCTGCCTTCCAGAAACTGTAAAAAGGGTCCGAGACCTCCAAAGCCCTTCAAAACTCTAGCCTTTCGGGAAGAGCCAGGTATCTCGACCAAAGATATTCCGTCGAAGAGCTGTATGTCCCGTTCCTTACTGGTGGTCTCCAGTAGCTGTTGTACAATCTTCCGTACAATTCGCACTCCGTGACAAGAAACCGACGCGTTCTTCGAATCCTCGGACGTGCATGACGTCGAGAATCCGGTCCATGTGTCCTTACTTTCGTTCGTGGCGGCGTCGATCGTATCGACGATGAAAAATCCGCAGATTGCCAACGTCAGACAGATGTGCAGACGTCGGCGATCGATTCCCGGTACGCTGTCTATCCAAAGCATCGTTTCGTCGTGGAAACGAGCGTGTCACGACGAACAAAACGATTTGGCTCCGTCGAAATCGCGGCGGGCCTTTATCCCTGCGCTTTTTGCGTCGTTAAACCACCGCGCGGCAAAACTAAGGGAACGTCGCGTGCGTATATCGTGAAGCTGCGGAACCTACGGCGGAGGTCCGAGTGCTGCAGCGTAAGTGCTTGCAATTCCCATTTATATAGATCTACTTGAGGGTCGGTGATTGTACCAAGAAAAAAGCAAGGAGAGCATCGGGCACGATGGCTGCCGTTCTCTGCTCTTGCTGTGCATTAGACGGTAATTTTTCGTTCACTTAGATGCCGGTCTCTTCGACGATTCGTTTAATTCTTGTTTCTCTGACGCGTTTCAGAGCGTTACGGCGCGGTTGGCTTGCGAGAGCGAGGTTCCATCATCGCATCGGCGCGGATGACGCCTTCACGCATCTTCCGCTCCCTTCCTTCGCCTATTTCCTTTACCTGCTCCGTCGGACGTAATTCGCATTTAGCGAGATCTCACTATTCTAGATCACGTACTACTACTGGCTCCCGGATCATTCGCAACTCTCTTCTCGTAGTTTGGCTTCTCTTTCCTTTCTCTCTTTCCCGCGCTTTAGTAGAGCGGAAGAGAACGTACCGATTTCGAATCGTGATCGCCGGTATCGATCGTAACACAATCGTACGCATCTCCGATAAATAATAGATGCGAGCGTAACGTGGTTGAACCCATGCGAGAAACCAACATAAAATTTTGCGTCCCTCCATCGATGGCTGCGAGACAGATTAATTATATATTGGCGAGTTTTTATTCTGACAGGTAGATCGTGTCAAACGTACGCAGGATAATGAGGAGGACGATGTAGCGGAGAATGTGAGAAATGCGAATTTACGTAGGAAGGGGTAGGGTGTGGAGGAAAACGAGAAAGAGATAAAGAAACCAATGATGGACAAAGATGACGAATGGCGTGGAAGGAAAGGAGAGATGACTATCCAAATCTAGTTCATCTTCATGTGCCTTTCTCTTCTGTTCCACTTCCCCTCACATGCCTACAACACCGCAATATATACGTAGCAGAGTCTGATAGGTATAACTACAACCGATTCCAAATTATTCTTCCGTTCCACGACACGGCTCGATCGCATGCGGACGATCGTGATCAACTAAAAACTTTACCGAAGCTCACGAGGCTTTAAAGACGGCGTTATCTATTAAAATTAGATTAATGTCGAAAGCAGTTGCGCTTTATCGCGTGTACATGCGGAATTCATACTTACAGTTAAGCAGGGTTGGAAAAGTTACTTTACAGGTTACTTACAAGTTACTTTTTATTATAGAAATTGAGCTCAACAAGTTCGGATATTTTAATTTTTCTATCATATTTTATCATTTGCTCCAATTTTGTATTATTTTTTACACTCAATTCCTACAACAAACGTACATATGGTAACCTAAGTAATTTATAGGTAACTTATAAAGTAACTTTCTCAACATTGCGCGCTTCCCAACACTACGTACCGAATGATAGTTTTTTTAATTAGTGCACGCTAAGCTGTGCTCTGTTTATTTTGAAGCACGGATATTTACGACTACATTCGTTGTGTATATACTGCATTGTATTTTAGTTCATTCATAAAATGGAGGTTTATTGTAAATTTATCTTGTGCAATGTAATGTTCGTTTAAATATCTAACGGGCCGTAACACAAGCATGTTATCGTGACATTATCGCGTTACGAGATTTTCGCATTTAAGTGTCGTCCTCTCTCTCTCTCTCTCTCTCTCTCTCTCTCTCTCTAGTTGTATTTTTTCCTATATTTTTATTTCGTTCGTTCACTATATTTAATTCTACTAAAATCTGAAGAAATGGCAACTAAATAGAAGAATTTGGTAAGTCCTAAAAAATTAGGGAACTCTTTTAACTTAATAAATTTCTAACTAACAAAATAATAAATTATCTATAAAAAAACTACTAATTTTGTTCGCTGTTGATTCAATTAAATATATACAATTGCAAAAATCTAAAATAATATTAACATTCTGTAAAGTTTATTGTTATGATAAGTTTTGATGTTACTTTTAAGACCGAATTAAGAATTAGAAAGATTATTTGCTATTTCTAAGGAAAATATATTAAATAAACCGATATCGTGTTAATTACGAGATAGTAGATCTTATCTTCTATAATGAAAATTTTCACTACTTTGCTCGGTGTTGTGTTAATATCTCCGATCTAAATAATTGCATCTCAAATAAAGAAGAATTCAGGTTATTAGCAAAGACCTACATATAATAAATCAACAATTAATTAATTTCAGATTCGTTCAGTTGTGATAATTTTCTGATATCGATAACTTTAATTATTTGCCTAGCGATAAATGGTAAATTATGCAGGTAAGAAGAAGAATGCAGGCACCGCCAACAAATATCAGATAGTAACAGTTTGTAATAACAGTAATTGAGTTAAGATAAAAAAATATATATTTATCAACGAACATCGGTATGTCAACGATATCCGTATACGATCGAGGTTTCGGACACACCAGAGACTTCAGTTTCTTTCTCCACCACGCGTGAGAACGGTTTTCAAAAAAGAAAAGGAGAAAGAAAAAAGGATAAAGAAATTGGGTCAAGTCCGCGATGCCCCCGTACGTTGGAAATCGAAAGTCGATTTCTTGAATGGTACGAGATGAACGGTACTCTCTTTCTGCCACATTGCGTCTGTCTTATCTCGCGAATATCCTTCGAATCCTTCAAAATCGATCAGAATGGAGAAAGCGGAAACATTGTCAGATAGAGGTCAACTTATTTAAATGAGAAATGTCTGGCATATCACGTGGTCCAGACAATTTTTTTTTTTTATTTAATAGACGTGCCTAATTCTTCTTTTAACACATAAATTCTTTGTTCTCATTTAGATAAATATTATATAAGTGCATTCTATAGATATGCATATAGTATACGTAAATTGAAAGATAAATTATATGGAAAGTGTATAAAAATTAAAGAATTGTATTATTATATGATGCATATATTATCAGTTGCAAAAGAAAGATTTTGCAATTTTTTAATATGCAACATATTACGAGATTTTACAATATATTTCTATCAAATGCATATGTAAAAACTAATTAAAATAATCACATGCGCTAAAATCCCGCTAAAAATCACAAATCGGGAAATGTCAAATTGTATTTGACATTTAATTTAACCTGCTGATTTGTTTGAATCTATTTGGCATAAATTTACATTTAAACATGTATTTTATTTTCTTATTAATATTTTATTTAACAACTCTTTTCTCTGACTTGATTTGTCTGTTAATGTAAGACTTTTTTCTGTGAAATATTTTATTTCTTATTTTTTAGAGTTTTTTATTATGTTGATTCAAAAGATACAATTGTATAGTAAATCATATAGAATATAAATTATAGCTGGTTAAAACCAACAGGGTTACTATCTTCAGTATGTCTTTTAAGGCTAAGAAAAATTTCGTACTTTACATATAATTCTGCTATTGTACATTGCAATAAATATTAAAGATAAAGATAAAGATAAAGATAAAGATAAAATAAGATAAATTCTTATGTGATAATTTACGTTAAATCTATTGTTAAATTAAATAAAATAAATTTGAATACAATTTCTTTGAAAAACCTATAGAAAATAAATCGTTTACCAGCAAAAAAAATTGTATCGACCTTAGGCAATTTTAATACTTTCATAATTTATCATTTAATAATATCAGATGTTTTAATTATTATATATCAAATTTCTGTCGCACTAGCAACATTGTTAAGTAGCCAAACTAACGAAATGAATCGCTTGGACGTAAAATCGCGATGACTTTTATTCTCGCATTTACGCGATACTCTATCCGGTCTACAAGTTGTATTAAATAGACCACGACTAACGATCGTGACTAAAATATTTGTTGCACAGATCGTTCTCAGGGATTTATGTTTAACGTAGTCGAGCGTATCAATTTACTTGAAAGTTTTTTTTTAAGACAGTCACACATCACTATGAAAAAAGCAGGACAACTGTAAACGTAAATATTAAATCTCTCAACAATTCAAAAAAAAGATGAGTATCGCATTAAAAGATTGCAACAGGATTCTATCATTTACTATTATTTTTTCTACGTTTTATAATTGAACAATTATGACCAAGTTTTGTTGTGAAAAATACAAAATAAGTATATGCTGAATTAAATATACACGATATGTATGTGAATCAGGGGTGCTCTAATAAAAAATTTTATTAATTTGATATCTTTTGAATTAGATTTTGATTTTATTTTATTTTATTTTATTTTTTATTTATTGAAGTATATTGTCATCTTTTTTAACTTAAACATGTGTATAAACAAAAATAATATATAAAGAATATATACATATAGTTAGAAGTATAAAAATAAAATTTGCTTGTAATATTTTTATAATTATAAATGGTAGATAAATGAAAGTTGTATAAAAATAATAAATAATTTATCTTTTTATATAAAAAATAATATAAAAGGTATTATTATTTATTTCAATACACTTTATGTGGCTGTCATTATTTTTCGTCATTTTTGCTTTACGCGTTGATTTTTTATCATTTTGGCTTTATTTTTCTGTTAAACAAGTATCTATATAAACTTGTCTGTCTGTTGCGTCAAATAAATCACTACAAGACTCTCTATTAAAGATAACGCATTTTAATTTACAACACGAAATAATCGTCAAATTAATTAGCATGTGTATAATTGTTATAATTGTTTTATCATTTACTAATTATTTACAAGCGTACAGAGAACTTTATATACTTTTCTCTTAACGATTCATCACATTAAAATTACATAGAAATTTCTTTAAAAAGCCAATAAAAAGAGCTTAGAGAATTTTTGGTATCGTATCACTCACATGTCTTAATTTTGATCTTATTTCATAACATCTTTCGTCCTAATTTTAAATAACATTTAAGTTAAAATGATTAGCTTTGATAAATAAAATTCTTTATGTTAAATGTAAATAAATATTACTTATAAATATAAATATGAAATAAAAACTAAAAATAATAAAAGATAAAAAACAATATTCTTTTATGTTCATTTAACCGCAAGAATATAGTCACACAGTATAACCTCTAACATTAAATGATTTATCTAGAATAAAACTTCTATTCAATATAAAATGACTACGTCTCGCGCCAAATATAAATAACGACAAGAATACAAACTGAAAGTAGAATAATTACATTTAACGTTTAATGCACACCGTGAACATAATTCTAAGCTCTCAAGATATCACAGATCTAAATACTATAATGTGAGAAGCGAGAAGAATATAACGCTCGTGCATAATTTTATGTCCTAATGACGAGAGTCTCGTAGTATCTGCAATTATATTCACAAATACAATCGCGAAAGTAGGTAGGTAAGATTCTTATGATGCGTATCCTCCATACATACGCATCCAAGAGTTTCCTGCCCACGTATCCGTCAATCGTAATGTCACCATTGTCATAAACACGTGCGTCGCTGTATGTCATTGACGTATTCATGCGTCGTGTCATTCGGAAATTTAAGTATAATAACAGGTATTAAAGAAAGAGAGAAAGAGAGTTATCAATGAAAATAAATAAAGAGAATCACGATGTTGATGATAAGAAAAATGAAAAAAAGAGCAAAGTAAAATGAGTAATTATGGATGGAAATAAATATTCTAAATGAAATAGATCTAGACGGTGATTTAAGAATAAGTTTAGTACGGATCCAAGGACATCGCTCTTCTCATTTCAAACGACGATCTCAACGATTTTTGGATCCTGCTTTCAATGATAGGAATCACTTTACATGCGCCGCATAAGCCAGCTCATGAGCATCTGGTTGTCCAGGAATCAACGTTTGTTCGTGGAAACTTCTCGCCCACCCACTGGAGTAACTATCGCCATGACCATGATCGAATGAATGGCTCGAGCCGTGATGTGGATGCGCTACCACTTCATAAGTTACATGTTTCCCTTGCGAGAAAAGTTTCTTTAGGCCTATGATACTAGCCAATAGGAGCGCGATCTTCGACAAAAGGAGAGCTTTGCCGACTAGGAGAGCAAGAGCCTTGAACGCTAAACCGCCGATGAGACCAATCTTCAAGACGGCCGCAGCGATCAATGGACCCATATTGTTCTTCTTTCCACGACCTACAAAAGATGGAACAAATTACGCTATTGTCACTTTCGGCGAATTAGTCAAGCAAAAGACGAAGAAACTACTTTGCAGGTACATAATTATACTTTCCATGGAGAAAGCAATAAAGTTCGGTGATAAGCAGATGAATGAGCAGATGAACAAAGTAAAGGTGAAAGCTATTTGTTTACGCATTCGGTGACACAACTTTACTCGTGTGAAAACAGTGAAAATTGAAACCAGAGTAAAACTGAAACGTCACTTATATTTAATGATAATTTTGTTAAAGATCATATTATTTATCAGAATATTATTTTATTAAATACTGACATAATATTATAATAACAAAAATGTTAATATATTTAAATTTTGAATAATTAAAGTTAATTAAAGTTAAATAAAATTTTTATAAATTAAAAATGACCAATAGATAATCGTATTTTACATGAATCCTATCTTAGAGCTCAATTATCGAATTTACTTTTGTTGAATCTTCAAAATCTATAAAAGCATGGCGCATAATTGAATTTAATAAAGCAAATCAATATTTATAGATGCGTTTATTGCAAGTTTATTGCAAGTTATTAAATATCTAACACTTACTACTTAATTAAATTACACAATCCTATTAAAAATATTTTTTGTTTTTTTTTACTTCTTTAGGAGAGCTATTATTGTAAAAATTATAATTACCTTCTTGAACGGGCCTGTCGGCGCGTTCAATAGACAGACCTAAGTTTAACGAACCGGTCTCATCTTCCGATGCGGATACCACAATATCATCTTCAGGTAGAATTCTCCATTTAATACTTCTCGATTTAATGAAGGTGTAAACTTTATTCGCGACAAGATCAAGGACTTGAATCTCATCGTCCTTGCTTCTACCGGCCTCGAACGTGATTACATCTTCCGACGTCTGACTCGTCTTCCTGATCTCGATATCGTCCGTGAGCTCGATCGAAGCCTTCTTCAGCAACTTGTTCATGTACGTCACCAACTTCAACATCACACAACTGCTGATATCATTCTGGGAGCATTTTGAGTTGAGTTTACGAAGAAGTTCCTCCTCGTATTTAGCTCGATCTGTTAGCATCACAGACTGCTGCTCGATGACGCTTATCTTTTCCTTTTTCTCCACAGGATTGGCCAAACATACTCCAAGACCAAACAAAATCAATATGAAGTTCGTCTTCATGATGCTTTTCTGTTAAAATATTTCACGATATATTAATAATTCCAAGATAGACACAGAAAAATATTGACTACAATAAAAAACAAAACAATAAAAACTAACAATAAAAACTAACAATAAAAAAAATACAAACTATTTTTAAACTAATTTAAAATTAAAAATCTAAAATAGATAAAATATAAAAAATAAAATAGATAAAAATCTTATCTCGACCGATCAAAATCCAAATAAAAACCGAAAAGTGATTTAATGTCTGTATATATAACAAAATAAATTTTATAAGATAAAACTCGATTCACGCACACACATACACACACACACACACAGAAACAGAATAGTAAAAACAAATTCGAATGCTTAACGTATGATAAAATGCTAATTATATGCAAGATAAGATATAACTTTCAAGCATGTGCCTCCAAACGATGTATAACATGCATACAGTGATCCACGAGTAACGGAATGATAAATTAACCCACCTATTAGAATCGAAGCTTTAAAAACTATAAAAAAAGAATAAAGAAGGCAAAGAGCGGCGACTCTTCTCTCAATCCGATCAGCTGGTTAATCCCGTATTGAGAAGAATCTTTCTCTTCCCAATCCCGATACGTAGATCAAGGAGTAGCACGAGACTTCTGACTCGCGTCTCGCCCCGACGAGTTTATATACGTAGATCTCCGCCTTAGTAGATAGATACCAAGCTGTGCACAATGTCGTCGCAAGCTGACCCACCACTTCCCGCAGGAACTATATAGGGGGCCTCTGTGAAACGATGTTGGTGCGGACGATGGCGGGTGGCGATGGCTATGGACGAATGGTAGTGGTGCCCACTTTTGCCTTTAACATGGCTTTGAGAGTGGCTGCAATGGGCTTGCTACGGTAGACTCGGATAGTTCTTGGTAGTGGGATGAATCGCTTCATGATTATCTCGCAAGCGCGTAAGAGAAGATCAACCCGATACCGAAGCTAAAGTTTATCGCCATCCTTTACCCGCAAACTGGTTTTACCCGCAATGCATATACACGCCGCCTAACGACGCGCAAAAGAGAGCGACGCTAGCGTATTTTTTTTTTTTTTTTTTTTTCTTGGAAGGAAGAGAACGGCATCGTCGTCGTCATCCTCCTGCATCCTCCTGCATACGCGCAAACTGGTTCCCAACGATGCATGGTGCATCGTGTAAACTGGCGTCGTAAACTCGCGAACGAGTAGCGGCTCATCGCTCGCGTATATTCTTGTGTGTAGATGAAGCGGCGTATTCTTGTGTGTACGGTTCATGTACGGCGCGCGATTCATAAACAGCCGCATGGAAACATGCGAGCTCCCCTGTAGTTCTGATGGACCATTACCCAACCTGCCCGCCCGCGAGAACCGTGTCACGGATGTAGAGCACGCATGCCATCCATCCCCGACTCGCAAATGCGTAAGCATCTACCTTATATGATCGTGCGACTTGTACGGCACGTTAATCGCAGCTCTAGCCGCGTCTTTTCACGAACCTTCTCTACGCACTCATAGACTTTTAGGGTAGAGAGACTTAACCATGAGGAAAGAAAGCCAAGATGCTAGGAAAGCTGGGATAAATAAGTACGGTTCGAGGAAATTACTGGAGCAGAGTAATCCGACAGGGATTTAATATCCATGGAATCTTTTGAATTAATTCTCTTTACGAGATAATTTAATTAATTTTCCGAAAATTATAAAAAGTTGACCGTAACAATTGCATATGGCAGATTAACATACTTCAGCGGCGCGGCGGTATGCAGATGCACCGGATATACGTTTGTTCCAGAATGACAAGGATTCAGGGTATTGAGGAGAAACTCTAACACGTATCGGTACGTTCGCAATGGTAATGCGCGTGCAGGCAACGTTATATCTAATCAAATGTTACACACATGCACTTACGTATACCTAAGTATTGTCTGACGAACAATCAGGTAATTCTCGGATTCGATTAATTTTATTGCTTCCGTTGTTCCCGATATTCTTAAATAAGATTCTTATTGAGGAGTAAGTACTATCGGATGTGCTCACTCGTCATTCATTAACTCACTCGTAAATCTGTCTACGTCATTTCGATTGCAAAACGAAATCAAAGTGCAAACGAGTAGAAAGCAGCGTTGCGTTACAACAATTCCGAGGAAAGTAAAGAGAGGTAAAGAGACGAGCAGCGAAGGTATCGTCAATTGCACATTTATCGCATTGCATGTCACATGTGACGGATACGTTGATAAGTTGAGTGCTATTTAGGCATCATTCAGTCACATTTTCCAATGAGCAAAGATCATTAATATTTTATCGGACTTGTAATACCCGTTACACAACTGATCCACAACAGACAAAGTATATAGAGCTAAGAAATTATTCTAGAAAGTAACTATATAATCTACAAACTAAACTAAGCATTGCGAGGCACGTTTCACACGACTGCCAAGAGTTATGCGAGCTTGGTATCAAATTTCATTATCTTAATAATTAATCATGTACATGATGTGGTTTAATTAAATGATGAGATCTCACACACAAACACACACACATAACAGTGAACTGTTATATTGAAAACAATTTCTCACTAAACTTGACTGACAAAATACATTTTTCACGAGATGATAATAGAAGATATACAATCTATGAAAAGATAACATATCAATATCGACTTCGTAATGAGATAATTTTATATAACTATTTAACATCAAAGAAATCTGTAGATTTTCTTTTTTTTTTTAACATTTTTTATTGCAATAAATACTGGCCGTAATAATTATGACAAACAAAATCAGTGATGCGAATATATATTATATTTTACTACCAGATGTGCTAATTTTAAAATAATCATGTTAAACATTACATATGTGACATTAAATACTAGAATAATCTTCACAATCTCGTTACAACATATATATTATGTATATTTATGCAAATACGAAATGAAGATGTAATATAATCATTCAGTAAAACGCGCTGGGTGAAATGGTGTTTAAGACCATATACAATATTATAATCTGAAATATCTGTTAAATAAATCGAATACTGTTAACTGGATGGATAATGAGGCGTAGAGAATATCGAGGAAAACCATATCCGCCTCTCTCGTTCTTGAATTCAGCCCGTTTTCTTGTAAAAGCGACTTTCGCGGTACAGAGGTTAACGTCGCGACCTAGACGCGAAAGCTCGTCCATATACACGTTAACCGATCTTTCCCCACGCAACTGGCATCCATCGTGAGACCTAAGGCACTCGCAAACGAGCGTTTCGGTGCTCCGTGCACCGTTACGTCGAATTCCGGACGAACATTTTGTCAGGATCCGGAATGTACATTTTTATTATTCAAAACTAACAATAAGTAGAGTGATATTAACGTGCAAACATATAATTGCATTTTATATTATGAGACAATATTATTTCATCATTATTTTGAACCATTAAATGATTACTATTACAAATTTCTTTCTTATTTACTTTTATTAAAGTTTATAAATCTAATGTATACAAATTTTATAAAATATACATTAACTGCAAATCGCAAGATAGATACTCGATGAAACATAAAGTTTTGAGTAAATATCTCTGAGTAACTGTCTAGATTCCGTACTAATTAACATGCGATAATTTGGAATCATCGTACGATAATGCGAAAAGATATGAAAGTATGATTTAAACTGAAGAATCATAACGTTAATGATTAGATCTATTCGTAAGATATATACATTGGCAATTATTATTTAGTGCGTGTAACTGTACAGTCATATATTGTTACTTAGAGTTGAAGCGAGTAATGTAGGAAATGAAATCGCCGATAGAAATGCAGAAAGTATATAGAAGAAAGTTTTCAAGCTATTCCTTACAAGGAAATTTCCGGTAATTTAATAGAAAATACCCGAAAAGTCAGATGGCCCATTTTACATACGCATATGTGAGCATCGCTTTCGCTGCACTGCATTTACAATACATGTGAGCATCAATGTCCTTGGTGTAATTCGACATAGATATGCTTGAGTATCTAGGAAAATTTATGTTATTATAAATGTACTAGTTCGCACGTACTACTGTGTTTTCTTTGCAACACGACGATCAAATAACTGCATTGTAATGCCGTAGCTTATATTTTAATAATCTTCTTTCACTTCCGTAATCGCCAAACAAAAAAGATTAATTATCTTCTCTGTCAGATACAAATTATTGCCATCAAATACTTGTATTGTATTCGGAAATTTTTTTCATAACATAATCATAAAAAAAACATTCTTATCTATATACGTAATATTCTTTTTATTTTATATTAATATCTTTTTTATCAACAAATTAATCGATATAAAAAATACTACAAATACATCAGATTACTTCAATTTAATCATTATTATTTACATCAATATTTTATTATCTAAAAAGGGGATGTAATGTAATTTAATGTGACATTTTTGTTATCTTTTTAGTTTTTACTATCATTATTTTCTGTAATTGTAGTGTATATATTTTCATTTCTTCTTTGGATCCGTGATTGTTTTGAAAAATAATTTAACATCCCTCAATTCTGAAGGGTTAAAACTGACATTTCTATCGAATTGTTTTCCATAGATCGCGGGATGATCGGCAGCTTCCGGTCATCTCGGCAAACGGGGCCACTTGGTCAGCGGGTCTGTTCTATCCGATTCTCTGGATCGCGAGTGAGAATCATATCGAACCGGTTTATGTAAGTACAAGATAGTTCCTCGTTGTGCACCTGAGAGAGAACCGGTGTAAAACCGCACGCAGTATTTTCATGCAATTATAAAGAGACATTTCGACATAGTTATCTGCGAATAATTCTACCATCAAACTGGTATTTTTAGGTATAATGATATCTTTTGATCGGATAAAAAAAACCATATTAATTAACTATTAATTAAAACCATAAGTCTTTATATTACAGTTAAATTAATAATTTGAATACAATTTTCCATTTTTTCTATCTTATGAAATTTAATATAAATTTTACAATACTTATATCTATTTACACCTTTTCTATAAAATTTTATATTTACAAACAATAAGTTTTTGTACAAAATTTCTCTTACGCGCACATATGTTCAAAAAATTAAATAAAAAATATCTTATTTTTTAAGCATATACATTTTTTACGGATATAAAAATCTAACTTAAATTTGTTTATGTTATTAATACAATGTAAAGAAATAAAATTTAATTTAAGCGTCATAGTGAAAACGAATATGAAATATATTAATGCTTAAGTAATCAGCTTACTGATATATGTGAAATTGATTCATGAAAGAATCATAAACGCTATTGGTTACAGTGAATCTTTCTTCGAAAGATTTATTTCTCATCAAAAATTATAGTTTTTCCTGTTTTAAATAATTTCTAGAACTCTTTTTTAATAAGGCTGTTAAAATAATATTTAAAAAGTTGTTTAATATTAAGTTAAATTTTAAATAAATTAAAATCCAAGAAAGTATAAATGTATAAATAAATGCTGTAATTTATTCACTTTATTTTAAATATATTAAATTATCTACTTAATTTTAAAAGTATTAATTTATACATCTATATATTATAATACACAGACTGTTGAAGTTTTACCTTATCCTTTTAATAATAAATTCTTAAATTGGTTTTCACTTAG